GGGGGGGGCGGGGTGGGAGGAGAGGGAGAGAGTACGATGAGGGCGCACCGAGGCACAGTTTACATACCATTTACTCGCGCCCTCGTAACCATCCGAAAATCTAACCCCCTCCCAACTCTGTTTGCACTGCTGTACAAACTGCCACTGGTGTTACTTACGGTTTCGACTTGCGAATTATGTATTAGCTATCATCTTCACCAATGGATGGACCACCAGTTACCAATGTCTCGCGGATAAAAATAAAAACACCAATGGCAAACAGATCTAATCATCTAGTTAATCATCTCGTTAACTACGTGGATCGTTACGTATTTTGCGATAAGCATCAGAGGGTTCATTTTATGGACATGTTAATGACGAAAAAAAAAAAATCCCTTGCCATTCGAGAGACGTACATGTAAAATAATTGTTCAAGCCAATTTCATTGAATCGATGTAAAATGTTAATCCCTCCGATCTGTCATAATACAATACACCGGGAAAATCTCAATTAATGCTTTTTTCCTGAATTTACAGCGATATTGTATTTTTTTTTTTTTTTTTCAGTCGCGTAATAAACAAACGGGATTACGGGATTTTTCTACCTGCCATTTAGCGGATTGCCAATCCCTTCCCCCCTTTTTTTTCCTCCCCCTCTTGCTGGAAAATTTCGCCGCAGCGCCAGAAATATCGGGTTAACCAGTGGTGGAAAAATAAAATATCCCTTTTTTATTTCCACGTCCATTTATGACGTCGGGATGCCGTATCGAATTCATATCCTCTCATACCTCTTGTCGTCTCTCGTATGTATATTCCACCATCGTCAATATTTGGCTGTCGTTATTCGATGAAAATTTGGCCAACAGCGAAAGAATGGAAAAAAAAATTGACCAAACAAAAGAATTGCACTCGGTTGCATATACTGGCTTCGTGTTACGTGTCAGTTACGGTTAATTACCGATGTACTCTCGAATATATTGGGTTGAAAATTTTTTGCCCGAGTGAATCGGACACGCGAGTCAACCATGATCAACGGCTGAATTTATTTTTCAATAATGGTTCATATATCGGTTAACTAATTGAATACAAATTCAATACGAGATGATTTTCCAGAGCTTTTCAGAAATACTGCCGATTTTTGAAAAATCATTTTCAATTTACGATTCGGTGATTTAATGAAAATTTTTAATTTCAATTCAGAAATGAAATTCGAACTGGATTTTTTTTAAAAACCAATTCTCTGAATATTGTGAAGCCGTTGAAAAAAATTGGCAATACCGTAAATTTCTTTTGTTCAATTGTTGGCATTGAGGGCCTTGAAATGGAAGAATAAAAGTTGGGGCTATCGTTGGCGTAACTAAATGCCACCGAATTGTACTGTCACCAATACCCTCTCCTTTGAAGAAGGGGAAAGTATCTGTCTTTGAATAACACCCACAGGGTTACATTGAAAATGCAAAATGCAAATGGTCCTCGGGGGACTATCGAATTTCAACCTGTCGAGTCACTCCATTGTCTAAGAATTGTCAGGGATATCCTTGACTCGAGGGTCCCCTCATTGTTTAATTTACCGTGAGTTCTCTACCTCAGTCCAACACTGTCAACCCGGTCACGGAGATTTTTCAACATTCGCGGCAGTTATATCGATACATTTAAACAATAACCCAGAGTGCACCTGCTGAATTCAACAGGAGGTGAGAATAGGTTCAAGGCCCTCGATACGCTCATTATTTCGTTGGCCATTCAAATTGAGAGGAGGAAACTTGAGACAGACCAGCTAATTATTTGAAAAACTATCATTTGTTACAGGTTGACTTTCGTCACGGATGTGAATGTTCTCGCCTCCTCCACCGACTTTAATTTCCCCCAAAATTCACACGCAGAGCTATTCTCTGTAAACCCAGCCCCAAAAAGTTCAGAAAAAAAAAAAAAAAAACCACCCATTACCTGTCTCCATCGCCTGAGCCCGGACATTTCCGATTGTCATCGGTCTCTAATTAAAACCAACTGAAGAGAGCCACTTGAAAAAAAAAAAATATAATAATAATAAAAACGTGTAGTCATTAATGACAAGTGGCGCCCAATGGGCATGACTCCATGATTTCTATTGATGCCCTCTCGGTGGAAACAGTCCCTCGAAAAAGATCGCCAGAATCAGTAGGTGGAGATCACTCGACATATACATTACGACAACAACATTTAATGGAGAAAATAAAATGAACCTAACGCAATCACGTGAGGCTATCGGCGGACGTTTTTTTTTCCCTCAAATGAAACATCTCCCTGATAAGGCGTCACAATAAATAATAATAAATACAACTGATGTGTAAAATTCCCGACTTTCTCATGATCGCGGCCAATTGTTATCCCGAGAGTACAGTCACGGTGATGATCACGAAAGAAATAGCATACATAGGAATGTATTAGAAAGATATTAGACACACCTCTCGAGCAGCATAACCCAGTAGAACGCGGATCCAATGAATGCCCGAGTCGCATAGGCTATTGTTAGGGTTACCCTGGACTTTCATGATGAAAATGTAACTCTTGTAGACACGAAATGATCGAGAAGCGTAACGATTATCGAGGGAAAGCTATCATTACTCCACGAAAATTCCAAATAAATCTCAAGACAATTTTTAATATGGGTATCTCTATTTCAAAATCCAAACCCCATGATATCCACCAATTTTTAATCTAACTGCAGTGAGAAAGAGAAGGAAAATTAAACGAATTGCGCCGTTTTTTGATTGCCCAGTTATTCGTGGGGTGGGCAAGGGTAACAGGGTGGCAGAGTGGAGGAGGGGGGGCCTTCCCAGATTAATCAACCCCTGAAGATGATTGGATGTCATTGGGTTGACGGATATATTCTCGTTGATATATCCGGTACGAGTCAAGTCCGAAGGCGGCAGATGCGCGGTTAACGCTGGAATAATGGTGGGGAGTAACCAACTACAGTAACTGAACAGTACAGAGCACTGGATGTACGCGACGACTCAGCGACACGAGTCCTAGTGGCGGGGGCGGACATTCGTGGATACGTAAAATGGGGATGGGAGGTGGTGAATAATACGGTGGTGGGGTAAAACGGGGAAATAGCGAGAGTGTGCAAAGTAAGCACACACTGCCACCGCTATAACCCCGCTATGTCCTCTGTTTCTACATCATCACGTAGTGGGGATGAGTAAGACCTGGTGGGGGGATACCCTAGGCTCGTGACAACCACGGGTGACCATCTAACCCCACCACCCACCATTCACATAATCAAGAGGGAGAGGGGAGGCAATATGATACAAATATCTGCGAAATATGTTTCTCCAGAATCATTTAACCATACCATGTAGATGTCTGTAATGATATCAATGAGGACAATCATCAGAACAGTGGATGACACTGTGACAGGAATAGATTTTAATTGATTGGTATTCTGTTTTATTTTTTTTTTTGGAGCAGCTGGGGTTGAAGAGGTGAAAGGGGTGAAAGGGGTTGGATGGTTTGATGGGATTGATGTGGTATTGATGATGAAATAGTTAATTGAAATGGCACTGGTATTTTGTTTCAGCCCTAGCACGACTGTCAGGTGGTGGGGATGTCGCCACCGGCCCACGATACACTGGTAGGGAGGACAAAAGCGCCGTAGGGAGGGTAAAGCTAAATGCTGAGTCTCGTAGTGGGGATGATGTTGAGGTCGCAAAGAAGGAGGAGAGTCGACCGGCTTCAGAGACTGTCGAGCCGACGGCCGTGTTTGACGTCGCATCACTCGTCCTTTACGGCTCACGCGCACTACCAATACGACTTAAGATACTACTTGATCAGTTGTTTAATCAGTTGTCCAACGCGAAAGTGACACGACTACTAGCCGCATTCGGCTGGACCCACGAGGATTACACTAGAGGATACATACTGCAGGTGAGTTGAAATGTCAACATTTTGGGAGAGACATTTTTGAAAAAATCACACCGCCAATTATTCCAGAAATTTTCTTTTTTACGAAATTTTCCGAGGAGTTGACCGATTGACACTTGACTGACACTATACTGATACTATCAGAAACATGACGAGACTCAGTGAAAATTGCTGTGATTCTAAGACTCGATCGGAGAATCGCGGAATTCTCTTGCGAAAATAATTTCAAGTGATTGGGGGAGGGGAGCTTTTTTTTCTGTTCTTTTTGAAATTTTTTCCTTGTTCTTCTCGATTGGAGAACTGTTCCACGTGTAAAAAATAGTTTGTTTATGCTATGAGAGGCGGAATGGGCGTCATGACGGTGTCAGGATCGTTCTTGGTCATATCGTCTCTCACTCGAGGAAGATTGGCTTCCGAAAATACATAACGTATGTGCGGTATCCCTATTACTGCTCTGTGACTTATGCCTTTCGTAACTAAAAATAAAACATCGTGGCTGAAGAGGTCCAAACAGATTGAGAGAGGCAAGGAGGGATGCTGTGCTTGGAGAGAAACCGTGTGTCTATGCCATGTCAATTTATTTATCCGTGGTTTGGGTGGAATAGCTTGCACAAACACCAGAACGGAAATGCCACAATTCAGGGCTGTGATGAAGACAATTAAATCAAATGATAAACACGAAGAATACCGAGTGAAATATTTAAAAAAAAAAATGAAAAAGTGCCCAATAACATTATCTAAACAATAAAGAAGTGGACCAAAAATTATCCGACGGATTACAGTGTTTCACGACGATGAAATATTCATTCTGACAAAGTGAAATGACCAAGTGCAGTCATTAAAAAAGTGATGAAAAAATAATCAAATGATAAACAAAAACTCAATCATCCTCAAACGAAAGTAAAAGCCCCATAACGAATTGCTCCGACTAATCAGTGAAATCAACCGTAAATTAAACGGCAAAAAAAAATGAAAAAAAAAAAAAAAAAACTAGGGAAGAGGATTCCCTCGCGTGTGCCCGAAACGCGGAACTCCTTGCAGCAACATTCAAGTCGCGTGTAATCGTTGTTTATCAGGCAAAATAACCAGAAGTGGGAGAAAACTGCGTGATAGAGGTTTTTCGCGGTGATGATGATAGAATAAAAAAAATAAATAAATAATGAAAACTTCCCCGAAGGTGACCAGTGATTATTAATGTTTCTCCTCCCCGTGGATGTCTTATTTTTTTACTCCTCAACCGAGGGGGGAGAGCACGTTTTCAACTCTTTTCCCTCCCTGGGAACCCGTCAGTGCGGCATAGAAAATGGGGAGTATCCGTGTAAACTGAATTGCGCCGACGTTAGCGTGAAATTAAACGTATGGAAAACCGGTTTACGCTCATGGTGAGGTGACTATAGTGCACAGATCGGATCGAATACGTATGTTGGGGTCGAGTTAACCGTAAGATAAAATAAAAGACAATTGACTAAATCCCAGAGATATCGACAAATCCCTCGATTCATTTATCGATTTGCCTCCAGTGAATTTTCACCCCCCAAAAATGATAAACCCATCGCAATTTAATTTTGGGATGAAATCGATAGGTGAAAGGAGAATAATTAATTCACCTGTCAAATGACTTCCGATTACATGAGACACTGCCGTCGGAGTCTTTGAACTCGCCATCATTCAAATAGCCAATCCTCCCTGGAACTCATACTTCATTGACCGTGATTTTTCTTATTTTCGATTATTTGAATATGATAAATATGACACATTGACACAATTCCTGATGAAAACAACAATCAAGTAGATAACCTTTCACTGATCGCGATATAAGACGAATGATTACCCATAATCGATCGCCTCGTACTCTATTTAACATTTTTTTTTGTCTCCACCTTCAACAATTTTCCCGGCAATTGTGATTGAAAAAAAGGTCTCTTTAAAAAATGTGATCAATGAGACAAGTGTAATTACCAGCGCAACTCGTAACGAGACCAATAGCTATTGAATCGGTAATTCCAGCGAATCGCTAATTACAATCGAGTGAATAAAACAGTGACTTAAGTGTCATACAAAATTAAACCGAAAATTCCAAATAAAAAAGAAAAAAAAAGCTCAAATAAAAATGGAAGAGAGAGGAATGGTGGAGGTATCGCGGTAACTGCAATCCAATTTAAAAGCGGATACAATCCACAGCGAGATCTTCACGATTTCTACACACGAATAAGACAGGTCCACCGAGCGTGAAATCATATGCGGTGTCCAGTCACGGATGGCACCTTCGATTGCCTCCTCCGTATATTCCTCTCTCCCTCATTCTCATATATATTTTTTCACCTCCGAGATCACCATCGTTATTCTGACGCAAATGAGGGAAATTAAATCCACCGGGTTTGGCGTGGTGACGCGCAAGGTGGCGCCACTGCTCGGACCGCATCTACTGCTGGATCATATAAAGACCCCCTCCCTTAAAATAATCAATTCACCCAAAAATGCCGGAAATAATTGCGGGAGAGGGAGCGATGTAATTGAATTCTAAGAGAGAATTTTCCTTTACGTAACGCGATCATTCGCGAATGAATTTAGCAGGAAGATATATATTGATGGGAGGTAGAGAGCATTGAGAACGTCACGCATTCAAAACTTCTAATCGCTCAGCTACTATGTATATATAAATACACGGTATATGATGGAGCAAGTGTATACGAGAAAGAGTGCAGTTAAACACGTGAAAAGCATAACGCGAAAGGGGTGTAGGAGGGGGGTAGGGGAAGAAATGGATAATTTCTCTTATTTCGCATCCGGAGAGGAGACTCGAATCGATTATTATCCGGTGAATTACACGTGGTGACTATGAAAGTACGATTAAAATCCAATGGGGAGGATGAATTTACTTAATGGCCGGTGGGTTAACAGCGGAGGTTGGAGGATATGCACGTTACGACGAGCCTATTGACGGTTTGTAGGCACCGGCCTGTACTTAAATACAACCAAGTCCACTACCGTGTGATACCTGGATACCACTACCGACGACCTATGACCCATCATTTTATTATTTTTTCTCTCCCCCCCAATCCACCTTATTCTCCAAGTTTTTATTATTTTTTCACGGCATTCCGCGTTTATTTAGCGACGCTTCCGTGACTTTAATTTCAAGCAATCAGCGGTTAAAACGTTAACGGACTGCGACGAATCCTCGACGGCAACATGATTTCTTCCTGATGGCGACGATTTACGTATCAATTTTTTCTTTCATCTCTCCCTCCAACGCCACGTGAAGTGACTGCCATTGCCCGGTCTCCATTTTCATTTGAAATAATAAACGAGAGATTAAAGGAAAAAAAAAAGATGACTACGGCAATGGCGTCGTCGTATGTGGCTCGTGTCGGATGAGGATAAATAAACACAAGTCCAAGTGTTAAAACAAAATTTTCAACCGGCTAATTTACACAATTGGTTGTTATTTTTCTTGTTGCTCCAGTGATGACGATGATTGATAATGATAAAAATATTATTTCGACCTGGTTTCAGGACTCGGAGAACGGTCCAGTGCTCGACAGATGGAGCATCTGTTCAGCTGAAGAGGAGCCGCTGGTGTTGCAGCAGTTCCTTAGATTTCCGGAGACGCGTCCGTTTGTGCAGCAACTTTTGCTTGCTGCCAGTACGACAGCGTCGACGGATGTGATGTCACCTAGTAGACGACCATCACCACCTACTATGCCACTGGCCCATCTACCGCCATCGTTACACCTATTGCACAGCCGTTTACCACATCCTGGTTCACGTTTACCACCGCCATTGCCACCACCACCACCACCACCATCAGTAACACACTCATCGATGTCGCCGTCCGCCCAGCAGAAGCACTTTTCACCCTCAACATCATCAATAAACAGTACCAATCACAGTGGTGCATCACCACCGCGAAATATCGATTCAAATCACTCACACCTTGGATCACCCCTAAATCGATTGCAGAGTATGCAGCCCTTTGATTTTCGAGAGCTCGGAAGTCTAGGTCTCGCTAGTTTTCCACACCTAGCACCACCACCCCTGGAGCAACTGATGCAATCGAGAAAATCACTGAGACATCCACAGAGTCCCCACAGTCCACCTCATCACTCAACGGCATCTCAACTGAGGCCACCAATGCCAGTTGCACCAATTTCAACAACAGCCTTGGCATTTGGTCATCCACTGGCAGTGGCAGGCTCATCTGGTGCGCTGCCACCAAATTTTCCTGTCAACTTCTCCCATCCGTCCATGGGAAAGATGACGGCAAGTGCTGTACAGCATGATACCCAGAGTGTTGGCGAAAAGAGCAGCGAATTTGGTTCTGAGACTGAAGACGACGATGAGAATTCCGGTAGTGCATTAAATCTCAGCAGAAGGGATTCGAATCACAAAGCCGAAAAGCAAAGACTACGATCACTGCCACAACAGTCGACCGCTGCCCTCGGCAGGCCACCAACACTACCCGGACGAAAATCACAATCACCTGGTAAACGCAATCAATGGGGAACAACATCAAATCTACCGCCCAATCTCGGTACACCGTTCATCAATCCGGCAACTGGCAAAAAACGGGTTCAGTGCAATGTATGTTTAAAGACATTCTGCGACAAGGGTGCATTAAAGATTCACTTCAGTGCTGTTCATCTTAGAGAGATGCACCAGTGCACAGTCAAGGGTTGTAACACGAAATTTAGCTCGAGAAGATCGAGAAATCGTCACAGTGCCAATCCAAATCCAAAGTTACATTCACCGCATCTGCGAAGGAAGATATCACCCCACGATGGGCGCTCATCGATGGCGCACGCCCTAGTTCTACCTCAGCAGATTGGCCTACCTGTGCCAGCGAGTGGACTCAATCATCTGCCATTTGGATCATTTCCCCTCCTAACACCACCACCTGATCTGAGATCACCGGCATCCCTCTGCGGTCTCGACTTCAAGCATTTGGATCTCTCGTCGACGAGTCAGGCAATGTCGTACGAGGAGGCAATCCACCAGAGAATGATAACAACGACCGCTGCCACCACAACTGCACCCTCATCAGGGCCTTTCACTTTCACGACATCAACGACACCCAGTGGTTTGATGAGGGGCTCCTCCAGCACGAGCACAGCCGGTGGTAACTCTCCGTCATCACAGACACCTTCGATTATTCTTGAGGGAGAGGAGGATGACGACGATGAGGAGGGCATTGTAATCGTCGGAGATGAGATTGAGGCTCTGCAGGCAGCAGCTGCCAGGAACGAGGAGGAGTCACAATCCGCTCCCTTCAACCTCGCCAAACGACCGAAACTGTCTGGCGAGGGCCAGGACGAGGAAGTCAGCAACACAGACAGTGTCGACGACACTGACTCCATGGGCACCATAGAACACCACATTCCCTTCAACAATCTTCACTCTCAACTTAACACCACCAATTTCAACAACCGGGGAGTGAGAAAGAGGAAGTCCCAACATCCAACGAGATGTGCTGTACCAACAAATGTCCACTCACCCATGACCGACGCAGACTCGTCGAACGACGCTGTCTTTCAGGATCAGCCCGAGGACATGTCAATGTCACGTCTCGAGCAGCAGAGAAAGACATCACCATCGCCGAGACTAGCCTTCAACAATCGATCTCACTCACCAACACCCGACAAACATTTAAAAAATCATGATAATCTCAAAACTATGGAGAACGGTGAGCCACAGGATGAGCCACGAGATCTCAGCTCAGTGAAGAGATCATACACACCCGAGCAAATAAAACGTGAGCCATCATCGCCAAATGCTGATATTGCCGAGAAACATAACAGTCCGTCGACGGAAATGACTGTCACCAGAGATGATAAATCACAACCAGAGGATGGGGAAACAACTCACCAAGTGAAAATGGAAATGCCAGAGAACTCTGCAACAGCTGAGCCATCGCGATTACCTACTGAGGAGGATGACTACCTCGACGACGAGTCAAAGGACACTATCCACCGTAAACGTCAAGGTGAGCGTACCGATGTATCCTCCCGTGCCCCGAGCTCGGTCGACAGCTATCCGACTGCTAACGATGAGCTATCCCTCGACTCCTCGAATGCTTTGCGTCAACTCGAGTCCTTGTCGCAGGGTCGCATGGGTCCAATGGCACCGAGAGAGAGACAACAATCGATACCTGGCAGAGTATCAATCAGCCCATCAACCAGTCCAATGATCCAGGACAACATGGACAACTGCTCACGTGGTTCGCGTTCATCCAGCGGCTCGCCAGCGGCTATGGATACCGACAATAGTCTCATAACCTACGCAAGATATGAGAACGGTGGTTTCGTTAGTACCCAGGAGGTGCCACTGGATCGTGAAAATCCAAGGAGATGCACCGCCTGTGGCAAAGTCTTCCAAAATCACTTCGGGGTTAAAACCCACTACCAAAATGTACATCTCAAACTGATGCACCGGTGCAGTGTCGACGGTTGTAACGCTGCATTTCCATCCAAAAGATCCCGGGACCGACACTCAGCCAATCTCAATCTCCACCGAAAACTCCTGTCAACATCCTCGAGCCCACCCCTATCAGCCAGTCTACCCTCGAGTATATCACCAAGAATCGAGGAGACACAATTAAATCCACTACTTCACAATGATTTTCTCGCTCGACTCTACGCTGATGCGGGAATTGGTGCACTTGGTGGTTATCCTCTGTCATCAGCTGTTGATCTTGCTGCTAGAATTCCACCGCCACATCTACTTTTACCACCCCATCTCGGTGGATTTCCCGGTCTAACATCATTCGCAACCCACCTAGCTGGTCTCAATGGTCTCACCCATCAACACTTCAGCCAACTAAATCATCTAACAAGGCTTGGACACGAGCACGATAATCAACCAACATCACCAATGTCAGGCCCAACCTCACCAGCACCATCGCCAAGCCCCAGTGACGAGCGCAATGAGCAAATAAGGTGTAATGTACCCGGATGCGAGAGAATATTTGGCTCGCGAGCTGTACGCGATGCACACTCTCGCGATCCACAGGCGCACAGAGATCTATCCACCGTATCAACTAGCACCTCGTGACCGATGTCACCGTACCCGCTCGCGATCACACGACGCGGCTACGATTCATTCCCGTGATTACAAATATTTTTACGTCGATGTGGTGTACCGAGGAGAATTCAGGTATGATATTAAGGATATCCGAGTCTCTCATTGAAATTCCATTTTTCGTTATAAATAAATCATAAAAATTCTTCCAACTGTTCCAATTCTCGTAATTGTTGTTATTTTTATTTTTTATAACTTGGAATTATCGCCTGGTAAATTTGTGAATTTGGAACCAATTTATTGTTTGTAAATGATTTATGCAAGAATATTCGTCGTTTATGATGATTATTATTATGTAATTACTGAAAATAACGCGGATATCCTTAAATACTTTCAATCTTTCAACACCTCTTCGTAATTCACTCTAATGAAATCATGACTGGCTACTCGACTATTTATCAAATCCCCGACGAAAGTAGTCATAAACTTCCGTGGAATAAAGAATAAAAAAAAAAAGAAAGAAATCATGATCGTTGTGATTCGCATACGTTAGTGATGGTACTGCTAATATTTAATCATTAATCCAGCCCTAGTGAAGCTGTATATATTTAATCGATGTATTTGACGTATAGAAATGGTTTTCATTGTTAAATCGATGAACGATAATAAACCGAGTAGATGAAATAATTAACCGACTTTGTGAATTTATTGGGAGACGAGTGTTGAGATTTTTGTAAAAGTATCAGTTGGCGAGGTGCATTGAATAATTAATGGCAGCTATATTTGCAATAACGGGAGTGAAGATAGGAGAGATAATCCCAGAGTTTTGTCAATCCGTTGAATTAAATAAATAACGATGATATCATAGTGAATAAATTGTACAACTGACGCCCCAGTGAGGATGACACTCTGGTTTTCATAGACTTAAAAAATTTTAATCGATGAAATAAAAAAAAAAAGAACATAGATAGATATTATTTATTTGTTTCCTAGGGATCTTATTAATGTTAATATGTCATGGGCGGCCAGTAGCGGGCACTGCCGCGACAACTTCCTCCTTTACTAGTTAATATTGAATGAAGGTACACGGAGTTAATATGAATTGTCGTAAACGTCGTGAATAAATTGAGATAACAAAAAAAAAAAGCCAATCGTTTGTAAGATTAATCGCTCGTTATAAACTCGATGATGAATCCTTTCAAGTGATGCGCGTATTTAATGGACACCGAGAGACGATTGTAATGTCGCTGGGACATAAGCACTTACTGCCTGTTGAATTATATCATTGTAATCGCACCCGGATTAAGTGAATCTAAGTAAATGCCGCCTATACGAGAAAATAAATGAAAAAATAAATAAAAAAATAATAAACAATCGCTTTAACCGTTCTCCTATACCTCTTTTCCTGGGTTGTACATAAATAATTTTAAAACGAGAGTAGATCGAGAGTTATTCCCATTGTAGACCATTATGAATTTAACCGTGAGAAATACAAATTTTCTACGCGAATATCTATCATTCATTGAAAATTCATCGAGCCTATTTTATTTTCGTTCCTCTCAATTTATCTATTTCATCTCAATTTTTTCGAGGTGAAAGCGCGTTGAGGGATTTATTTACCCTCTCAATTCGTTGAGGGTCCATTTTACGATTGTAATTATGTATAAACCGAACGCTATATGATGTATATTATAGATCAATTATAAATGAAAATCACTCATCACTATGAAAATAAAAGTAACAATATGGAAATATATAAGCCTAATTATTTATTCCTAGACCCCATTTTTTCTCTCCTCCTCATTTTGTTTTATCAATTATTTTTTTATTCTACTCGACTAGTTTTTTTTTTTTTGCCCAGGTCATTTTCATTTGTCTTGGCACCGGGTCTTCGTGACCCACGTAAAAATGGAAGACTCCCTTCGCTGGTTTTATACTTGTGCGCCACGCCTTCTCAACTTCTCTCTCTCTTTCAAAATCTCAGGATGTGAAATGAGAAACGGTCGGTCGTTTATCAGAAAAATCTTTTCGCGTCTGTTCCCCCACGGTGAGAACGCCTACCAATTCGTCCAAGTGTCCGGCCTTTTCGATTTTGCTTCGAGACTATTTTCAAATGAGAAGACCAAGACAAGAGCACCAGCAGTTGATTTTTTTTCATTATGGATAATTTTTTTGGACAACTGCAATAAGATTGAATCAACTTCACCAATTTTCCTCGAGATGAGTTGGGGGTGGGGAAAAAAAAAAAAGAATTGATAGATCGGATGATCGAGTGGAGATGTGCAACTCTTCTACAAGTAACTACCACTGTTGGCTTCCCGTTCGGATACGACAGGTGTAGCGTGGGAGAGAGGAGGCAGGATGATTGGAGGTAAGAGAAGTAAAAGTAAAACAAGTTGAGAATGAAAGAATGAAAAAGAGACAAGCTGAGAAGGCGGTCGCCAGTTAACGTCTCTTGCCGCCTATCAACTTTACCCTGTCGTTCAGCCCCTCTCCCATGAAAAATCCAAGTGGACATGTCCTCTCATTCCCCAAGACAACCACTGAATATTTCTTTCCCAACAAAATTTCCTCTCCGAATAAATCAATCAATCCTTCAAAATTCTCCCATCACCGTATTTGCTCATTGGTTTTTTTTTTATCCCTCTATTCTAGTATCGGATATTTGACGACAAACAAAAAAGAAAGGAATGGCATCAGTAGAAAATTAGAAGTCCCTTCTAATGACGCAGAGGCGTGTTCAGGTTATAAAGAATACGTGAAGCTATAAAACTACATCACGCATCACCGGGACACTCTCCTCTCGGTGGCCCCCATCGCACGTACCTGACCCTCTCCCAGGTTTGAATCCCAACCGAGGCTCATATTCACATCGGATATGCTGTATTCCATGGTATTATACACTCGAGACAGGATAGACGGGTTATGATTCTCGGGGAGTTCATAAAAATCCAACGGCTGTCACGCGATAAGGGTTAATGGAGCGAAGCCTCCGAGTAATTCTGTCCTGATGCATGAGCTTTATTCAACTGACATGTTTTCGAAAGACGCTGGATATATTTTTCCAACCCGACAATTATCTACTACCCAGCATTTCCCATAAATCATGTGTCTCTGATTGTTTTCGGGACGTATCGAGTCCTACAGACGAGCAAATACCACATATAAATCTCACTAACCACTGCAACTCTCAACAATTGAATTGAAGATATCGCAATATAATGACACAGCACAATCCGAATAATAAAACGTTAAAACATGTAACATCGTGTCGAGTTAATCCGTGGTAATGCCCGCAAAATATCCATGTCCTAACCGTGAATATCATTCACTTGTATCTCGGGGTATACGATAATCATCCAGTCTTCCACCGCAATTCGTTCGTATCGCACATGTCGTTGGCATCCGGTGATTTACTTCGTCTCGGCAAAAAGCATTTCAAGTTTAAAAAAAAAAAGATTAAAGTCAACCCAAATTGGCACAACGAGATTCCATCTAATCACGTGACGACTCTTATCATATCTCACCCTCATCGATCTCAATTCTATCATGCCCTGACCATACCACATGTCCTGGCCATATTGTTGTATATATATATGGCGCTACCAATTACGCGCACGACCGTCACGGCGATATGCCTATCCGATTATTACGGCGTGTCGGTACACGCCCTCATACATGAGGCCAATCAGTGCAACCGTGTGCTCAACGAAATGGAGGAACAAATATAGAATGACAAGTGCTTCTTTATATCACCCCCGATTAAATGACTTTTTTTTAAATTCAATTCAATTGAGTCAATCGATTGAATTATAATTCAATGAACCACTCGAGGGCTTGGGCTTAGTCTTGCTTGTCATTTTTCACAAACGAAAACGAAACTCGAAGAGCCACCATCTTTGAGGTTTTCCGGTGGAGACAAAACTATACAAAAAGAATCTCGCATTTGTTCCTACCAAAAATTGGAATGTCACGCGATCGTACGACAACACAAGCAGATGGCAAAATCACGATTATTCTTCGTCACAGCAATGCTATACAATAATTTCAAGGGCAATTTGTTGGTCAACTCCATTGATCACGACAATGTATGGACACGCAAGGATTCACGTCTGTGGACAGATCGACGATGACATGCGTCAATGAAACGAGATCCACCTGTTGTCGAATTTTGTCATTTCATGACTTTAAATTTCATCTACACTGGAACAATCAAATTATTCAATCCTCCTTCCCCCTCCATTCCACCCTTGTCCTATTGTAAACCGAGGGTAAAGAATAAAAAGACGGGAAAAAAAAAAATTGGACATTCGTGAAGGGAGGGAGCCGATTCGATCGAGATTTACGAAATCTTTTCGAGGTATCGACGGTTGCAACTCACGCGCGTCTATATCAAACGACGTTGAAACGATAGATAAGCATACACAACGCCTTCTCTCGATTTATCATCAACGGGCGAAAGCAAATTGAACCGGTTAATCGTACCAGTGCATCGAAAAATCACTCAGGGTTTTATCCTGTTTCAGGTAATATTCCGTGTCCTTCGCCGACAAACATGCGCCTATTCTTTTTATCGAGACCGAAAGCTTGCTATCGAAACCCTTCAGAGGATCTATGCGAATGCGATTCTCCTCTTTTTTTTATCTCCTTATTTTTTCCCTCAAATGAGACTCCAATTGATTGAAATTATTTCATCCCAAATAATTAATTCAGTTAAATATTTTCACCTCATGACCATTTCCATAGATAATAAAAATCCGAATAAAAATTTCCAATCAACGAAACCACCTCATCACCAAGAATTATCCCATTGGCCATCGATTTCACTCTCATAAACCTGAAATATCATCTCATCCGTACGTAAAATACTCAACGATTTTCAACCCGTAAATTCCAAGTGTAATTTTCTAGCGTACGATTACGTCCAATTTTCATGTGTTGAAATTAGAAAAGTACCAAAGCCCATAACCTCCCGCCCTCCCACCCCCCTGCCACTAGTCCTCACCATTTTTTTTTTATCCATCTCCAACAAAATCCTCGCAATAGAGAGAGAAAGAGAGATGAAAAAAAGAAAGAGTAAGAGAAAAGAGAACGAGACAAAGAGACAGCTGTGCCCGCCCTCGGGGATAAAACTCCACCGAGCGAGTGCACAAGTAACAAAACAATTGGCTCTGGCCGTGGTATCACGAGAAAACTAAAAGCAAAAGGGGAGAGAGAGAGAGAGAGAGGAGGGGAGGGGCAAAAAGTAAAATAAAATTGTGGTAAAAATGGAGAGAGAGATAAGAAGAGGAGGCCGGCCACTCTCGTGGCCGTAAAAAGTCTCGGGGAATGTCACTGAATGATGGACCGAGGGACCGACCCCATCGGTAAGTAATTCTTCGGCAATTACATAATTACTCGATAGTTACGAGAGGAAGA